CCTGTAGATGAGTGTAAACTGCAGAGTCCTGGCCTGTAGATGAGTGTAAACTGCAGAGTCCTGGCCTGTAGATGAGTGTAAACTGCAGAGTCCTGACCTGATGATGTAGCTCGTCTGTGCTGGCTCATTCCTTTGAACAGTGGCTGTTTTGTTTCCTCAATGTATAACTGATCACAGTCCTCCTGACACTTAACAGCATACACTATATTACTCTGTTTTTACCGGGGAACTGGATCTTTGGGGTGAACTAATCTTTGTCGRAARYTGTTTTGGGGTTTGAAAGCCACTGGGACGTCATGTTTAGAGAATAAACGTCTCAGTTTCTATGAAACTCCCACCACATATGGAATGACGACTGGTTTGGGTCTGGGTTTAGGGTCTTCATTTTCAGCTGGTTGTTGGCTGGAATCCTGTTTGGGTTTCTTTTCTGCTTTCAGAAAAGCTCAGTTAGGATAACCGCACTGCTCCATGGCCTGTCTTGTGTGTGACTTCTCTTTCTCCCTGGCTCCTGTGTTTGTGGGGACACTGTCTGCTCTGTGGTACAGAGTCCTGATGACTCCTAACTTGTGTTCCAGTGGGTGACGGGAATCAAAACGCAAATACTGGTCTGTATGGGTGGGTTTGCGTACACATCAGTTTCTAGCCGTCCTCCATCCGAAACTGAGACCTCACAGTCCAGGAATGCCAACCTGCCATTTTTTACATCCTCTCATGTGAACTTTATATATTTATCCACAGAGTTGATGTGATCAGTGAAATGTTGGACTTCCTGGGATTTAATTTTAACCCAGGTGTCGTCAACATACCTGAACCAATGGCTCGGTGGTGTCCCTGAAAAGGACATCAAGGCTCTCTTTTCCACCTCCTCCATGTACAGGTTTGCAACAATGGGGGAAACTGGGGAGTCCATAGCACACCCATGTTTCTGCCTATAGTATTGCCCCCCATATGGAGGCAGTGCTTTTAAGGCTGAGTTCACCTGAAACTCATCAGACTGAAGAAGTCTCTTGGAGGAGAGACGAAATGTTTCACTAAAGAAGAACCCATCCAGAGGACCTACTTATTTTTTCTTTTTGATTTCTTTCTCTACATCTCCAGATAGCAATAACATTGCCAAAACTAGTTGAAATGCCAGAATAATTACAACTTTCCGTATAGTAGCAACACGTTTCTGATAACTTCTCTCCATGGTCCTGAGATGTGTGGACACTGTACGTTTGCGACTTTTACTTCCTGTTTACTACACACATGCATCTGACGTAATTGATTCGCTTCAAGCCAGTTGATGGAAACAGGTCTGATTCGAATTTCTTCTCTTTTTTCTTTTTGCGAAATCTAAAAAATTTTCTCAAAATTCGAATTAAAATTGGATGGAAACAAGGCTAGCACAATAACTTGTTGAAACATAATGATGTGCTTCTTTTCAACATGTTATTAACAGAGGTGTCAAAGGTACTCACATTCATTACTTAAGTAGAAGTATAGATACTAGGGTTTAAAAGTACCTTTTTGGAAGTAGAAGTATCAACTCAAGCTTTTTACTCAACTAAAAGTATAAAAGTAATGGTTTTAAAAATACTTAAGGTATAAAAGTAAAAGTAATGAACACTTTTTAGAAAGCCATTAAGGATAAAATCTTTATGGACTTGGAGAAGGCATTCGACCATGTTCCTCGGGGAGTCCTGTGGAGGGTACTCTAGGAGTATGGGGTACCAAGCCCTTTGATACGGGCTGTTAGGTCCCTGTACGACTGGTGTCAGAGCTTGGTCTGCATTGCCGGTAGTAAGTTGGAGTTGTTTCCGGTGAGCGTTGGACTTTGCCAAGGTTGCCCTTTGTCACCAACTCTGTTCATAACTTTGATGGACAGAATTTCTAGGAGCAGTCAAGGTGTTGAGGGGATCTGTTTTYGTGACCTTAGGATCACATCTCTGCTTTTTGCGGATGATGTGGTCCTATTGGCTTCATCAGATCCTGATCTCCAGCTCTCACTGGAGCGGTTCACAGCCGAGCGTGAAACAGCCGGGATGAGGATCGGTGCCTCCAAATCCAAGACCATGGTCTTTTATTTTTTTTACTTGTCCTGTCCGGCTGTGTGGCACTCAGAATTATAATCTGAGTGTCATGGTATGGCCTGACAGATTTGCTTTCACAAGTGGAGCATTTTGGCTTTCGCCACAATGCTCCACTTGACAAATGAAACTTTATTAGAAATAATATTGGGCCTATTTCAATTATATTATATTACTGACAGATAGACAAGTCAAAAAAAGAAGAAAGAAAGAAAGGAAAAAAAGGAAAGAAAGGAAAGAGAGTTACAATGCAATGGAAAAAAGTGAAAGAAAGAATCGAAAACATGCGAGATATACAACAATACAACACGTCCAACAACCGTCTGCACACCTATATACACCTGGTGATCATTCAGAACCCCTTGGATCTGAACACCTGTCTGCGACAGGATTTCTCCAACGGAGTGTATAGTAGTGACTGTGGGGGAGTCCCAGAGTCGACCCCCAAGGCACGAGGCAGACATAAGGGGAGGCCAGAGCCAAAGACCCCAAGAGGAACCCCAAGCACCGGGCCCCCAGGTACACCTACGTGAGGAGAGCCGCACACCCACCCCCAGGTCAAACCATAGGAGAGACCCAGGAGAACCCCATCAGCGACCTTACGCAGCAGCTCAGTCGGTAGAGCATGAGACTCTTAATCCCAGGGTCGTGGGTTCGAGCCCCACGTTGGGCGCCAATATGAAGAGGCAGATTATTCTCTGTTGTCAAGATGAAATAAAGATAAGGAGACGTCGCTTTTGGCCAGCAGAAGAGGGAGTTTTATTGAGTTCAGCAGTTTGTTACAACCAACAGAAAACATCCAAAACTGAACTGACGTATTTAGAAACCAGGCCCTTTTATACCCAAACTGTTTTCATAACACAAATTCTTCGTAACCAGGAAGGGTGGTCACTTCCAAGAATTGGGCTGGAAATTAAAGACCACCCAAAACACACTTATTAAGCCTATTTGTAGACTGATGATCACGACCCGCGGCGACGAGCACGCAGGCCCCACCGGCAACCGCTGCGCCAGGGTAGATATACAGGCATGGGTCCAGAGGACCCGGCCCCCAGAGTGCCCCCCCCCCCCCAAGCCAAGACACAACAGGACCAGAGGAACCAAGGCCCGACAGGCAGCCACCAGCCCACACCTGAAGAAGAACACCATCTTAACCTGTTAGCTTCAGCGCTGATGCTATATTGCCTTATATGTATTAGCTCGGTGCTAGCACGATAAACTAACAAGCTAAACTGAGGTCCTCCATCCATATCTTCAGTTGCAGGCTGAGTTGCAGGCTCAGTTGCATTCCCCTCTCTGTCAATGTGCTCTGATTTCATGTTGTGGATCCCTTTAACAACCATGTTATATTAAAAAAAACAATCCTTTTAACACTGAATTTTGTTGTGTCTTCTTTGCCTCCATCAGTGAACACCTAAATTCTCATTTCAGTGTGTGTGTGTGGGGGGGGGGGGGTCCTCACCCCCGCTGCACCTTTAATTCTTTGTGCACACAGACTAAGTAAATCGCACACAACACACCCACACAGGCTATTTTTTAAAATTTGCTCTTGGTATTTAGTAATGGTTATCTACCGTCTTGACAAATCTGGCCCAATGTTTTGAAACTTAGCAGTAAAGGTTACTGTAGGACGGTCAAAGCAGCAAAATTTGTTTGTGTGTGTTTGTGACCACTAAAGTATTCCTTTCTTTGTATTGACAGAGTTGCTTCCAGCTGGTGAGATGACCTCAGCAGTGATGGGGATTGACTTCTGTGACTCGACACAAGCAGCAAACTTCCAGCTGTGGTGAGATGAAAGTATAATCCATATACTGGAGTTGTAGCTGTTTTCCCAAACAATGGGCCTCATGCAAGAACATTTTCATATTTTCATCCTAAATTTCTCTTACGTTTGTTCGTACGAAGGGCTCGTTTGAACACGCCACATCAGATTCAACAAACACGTCTATCTTCAGGAAAAGTGTGTAAATGAACAGTGTAAACATGACGAATGCCACCTGTACTTATTCAGGTGCTTGTGCACAAGGAGAGGAAATTAGCATAATTAACACCCCAAAAACACCATATAAGGCTACGCTTCCTGCCCTACATAACCGGAAGTGTCCATTCATGAAAATAAAAGTAAAAAGAACTTGACAAGTTCTGAGATTGAAGTCCTGCTCTGTCATTTTTAGCAGCATCAGCTGTGGAATTAAAGAACCTGAATGGGACGAATTAGGATTGCTAATGCTGGTAATGCCATGTCTCCCTTGCGTCGTATACAGTCACAGAAATAAAAATCTAAATCATATTCATCTCTGTCTAGTCCTGCTCTTGTTTTCCTTTGGTCAAATATTTTTGATTTATCTGGAAGAAATGGGGAAACAACTGTGTTAAATAATTTTCATTCAGGAGAAGAGCCAGTCAACCGCCATCTCCCATACACGCAAGTGGTGTTAGATGTGGTTTTGAAGAAAGAATTTTAAAATGTCTCCAAAATATGTCAATAGCCAATGTGCTGAATAAATCTGAACATAATAAAATTTGATTAAAAAAACAAAATCTGTGTCTGAATAAAGCTGTTTATTATGTTCACTTCCTGTTGACCTGAAATACCGAGACAAATTAAACTTCAATTAATGCATAATTTAAGTTGGTTTGTAGTTTGAGATCTTCATATTAATATCGTAATGTTATACAACAGCCTTATTAGGCAATTTCATTTAATTAAATTTTACCAATTTATATTGTTAATCTACTGTTAGAATGGCCTTTTGTGGCTGGATAAGCAGGAGACTTGAGGCAGAGAAACAGGTGCAGACCCACTGGGTGTTTATTCATTCATTGAACAGGAACAGACAGAGAACCCTGTTTCAGGTTGTCACACAAGGTCTCAGCAGACAAATCAAAATGTTACTAACAGGCAGACTTTTATAGCCTATTACCCCCTCCCATCAACAGACCTACCATGAAACAGGGTTAACATAAATATACATATATACATTAACAAACTCATTCAAAATAACTGAAACATCAACATTTTATTTAACATTATTTTTCACTAAGCGTATGTTTAAAAACATTTTCTAAACATAGATGTAAATCAATAACCTTGAACTTCTGAAGTGCACAATTTACTTCCCCCTTTCCTTTCAATCCATAATGGTCTCTTCCAGAACTTTTAAAAGGTGCTCAGGCCCCCAGGTGCTCTTTTAATACAATTTCAACTCACATACAGTGCAGGATTATATAAACAGTTATTATCAGTACATTCAAATATATACAGATGCTTCAAAGGCAACAGAGAAAATAGGAGTTGCATTTATAGTTCCAGAATTTCAAATAAAAATAAGTAAAAGAATCACTGACAATTTATCAGTTTATACTGGAGAAATGATTGCAGTATTATTAGCCATACAGTGGGTAGAAAAAGTAAAACCTATAAAAACTATAATCTGTTCAGACTCAAGTTCAGTTTTAATGAGTATAAAAAACAATCAGTCAGACAGCAGGCCAGACATTTTACAAGAAATTACTGTAGTCACACACTATTCAGAATACAAAGGATGGGGTTAACTATTGTTTTTCTCTGGGTACCAGCACATATGGGGTAAGAGGAAATGAAAAAGCAGATAAAATGGCAAAGAAAGCAGTTCAAAGTGAGATTAACATTATAATTCAGACAAGTACCATATTTTTCGGACTAAAAGCCGCACCGGACTATAAGCCGCACCCCCAACATAAAAAAAACAGTACACCCAAATTTGTCGTCAAAAAAGTGAATTCAACATCAAAACAAAAAAAGCAAACCTTTAAGAATTAAAGTTCGGAGGAATACGGTTCATTTAACC